TTTAGAAATGGATGTTTTTTTAAAAAACAAATTTCAAAAGTATTTAATGAATTGTCTATGTAGATAAATTGGGAATAATTATAGTTCTTAAGATGTGCCCTTTTTTATGATCTAGAAACATTTGTTTTATGCAATAATTCAGCAATAAAAGATGAACTATACATTTAGGCTTAAAGGTTGTACTCTGTGTGATAACAGGGTCAGGTTGATTTAAAATTTCAAATGTGAATTATAGCAATTAATGAGACTATTTCTCTACTTTATATGTTGGGTGATTATAAAGATATTAATACCAGAAAAAATTATTTAGATAATTTCTAGAATTTATTTTCAGTCAGGATATTTGAGATAATTAAAAGTTTATCTACATACTAAGATAAAGCAATTAATTGATGACAGATGTGAATTAAGGCACTGTTTTTCTCTAAAAATGCTACCATAGTTGTTTTCATGAGAATGTACTATGTCATTGATACTTGGGTTGATATTAAATTATAACAAATCTGTCTCCCAAAAAACATAAGAAAAATAGAGTCAAAAATGACCTTGTAAAATAATTTTATCAGACTCTTAAAAATATAATATAAAAATCATATATAGTCATAAACTTTTCTTTTATACATTCGAAATAATTTAATCTGATAATCATATCACTATGATTTTCTGAACTACTTTATTCTTTTAGGAAATGAATGTGATATTTGATAAATCAGTATAGCAATTTATTGAACAAAGGATACAAACATCCAAGTTATAAGATGAATAAGTTCTGAAATTTTTAGTACAATATGGTGACTATAGTTGACATTACTATATTGTATCCTTTAAAGTTGCTAAGACACTATATCTTAAAAGCTTTCACCATGCAAAAATTTTAAAAAGTTAACTACATGAGGTGATAGATGTGTTAACTAACTTTATCTCATGGTGATCATTTCACAATATGTTCATATCAAATCACCACATTGTATACTTTACACATACGCAATGTTAAATGACAATTTTATCTCAATAAAGGTGGGGGAAAGAAAGGGATTTAAGCATATGGAAAGAAGTCTGTAGGTAAATTTGTTCATAAACTCTGAAAACATTCTAAAAGAGTGTGAACAATAAAAGGGTACTCTGATTTCACTCATATTTGATAAAAGTTAGCTCAGAGTATGGTGTAAAAGAAATTGCTCTTGTGGTAAGATTGACTCATTTTATCAAAACAATAAAAGGGTGCTCTGATTTCACTCATATTTGATAAAAGTTAGCCCAGAGTATGGTGTGAAAGAAATTGCTTTTGTGGTAAGATTGACTCATTTTATCAAAAGTGGAAAACAAACAACAAGTAATAGCCAAAAGCAGGGTTAAGGCCCCATTACTTTCTATCCACATAACAATTGACTTTATGCTTTCATATAATCAGTCATGTCAGCTCGGTCAACATAAAAAAAAAAATGTATATGTATTTTGTGAGACAAACAATTCAAATTGATTAATATATAAAACATTTGAAGAAATTCTACACATTAATGGAAATAAAAACAAACCAATAAATTAATTGACAAGATCCAATAATAGTCATTTCACTATAACATGACTAATATCCTTAGGAAGAGATATAGTCAGGGAGATATCAACTAAAGCTACAATAAAGGGCCTCCCCTGGTGGCACAGGAGATTGAGCGATGGGTTGCAAAGCTGCCTGCAGCCTCTGCAACACCAGTTCGATCCCCAGTCGCTGGGCAAGGGTCCCACATGGTGCGCAGACCTCTCCTGCTGTGCTGCTCCCCTCAGCAGTGTATTTCGTCGGTCTGCCTGTTCTGTTCCCCACTCTGGCTCTGGTGAATTCTCTCACCCTCCCGTGCTTCTGACTGTACCCAGTGCTTGTATAAACAAATAAATAAATCATTTAAACAAAAGCTACAAGAAAATAATAACTTTGATTCAAACATTTGGAAAAAAACTTAAGATATCAGATATCAAAAAATTAAAGAAAAAAATAAAAAGCATACTTTTGCCTGTATTTTTTTTTCCTTAAAGCCAATGGAATGTGTCAAATGACAAAATAATATTTCATAGACAGATTGATGTTCATTATTTAAGGGAAAACTATGCATTGGAGTGGCACAGTGCATCACCAGCAGTACTCTTCTGGAGGGATTTTTTGAAAATGAGTTTTAAACAACATTAGAAGTAGCAATAGGGTGCACATGATTGAGTAGGAAGTGAGGAATTTCATTATGAGACCAGCAGGTCTTTTTTTCTAGGGTAGGCTGAGCTAAAGCTGAGTTGAAAGAATGTGATGTGTGTTAGGTTTCCTTGAGAGTAAGACTTTTCCTGTGAATGCATATGTGATTGGGACAGACCAATGCAACAGGTTCCATTTTGTTGGTCATGATATACAAATTTACTTTATCATGTTTTCTTGATAAAGTTATGGATGAATGGAGGATTGTGGGACAAGATTTAGAGTGTAATTATAATCATTCTGAAGTCATAATACTAATTCCTAATATTAATATCTTAGGGAAAATTTTAAGGGATTTTTCAAGAAATTTATGTTATATCTTCCAATATTGTTTTATATGCAGCTATCATTTCAATGTCCTTGTTCTAACTGTTTAGCCTCACAGAGATCGTATTACTGAGAATTGCAGTGCCTGTAATGTGAAAGAATAGGCTGTGCTGTAATGCTCACAAAACATAATGCTAGATGAAATATAACAAAAAATGTCTGTTGAATTGTATGCCTGGAGTCACAAAATAAAAGGAAATTCCCATATTTCAGAAGAAAATAAAGAACTGAAAACCATAGCTTTGGATCATGAGCTAAATATTTTTGCAGCTACCCTGCAAGACTTGGGCTCCAAGACCTAGTGCCTTGGGCTTTAGTACCTACACAGAGACTTCAGCAAAGGTATTGAGATTCAACTTAGAATTGTAGGCAGTGTTAAAATAACATTATAGATTGAAGGAAGAAAAATGTCCTATAGTACTTAATACACACAGTTGGTATCTGAAGGAAATAAGAATAACCCTTATGAAAATTTAAAAAAAAATGCAGGAGTGAAATTACATTAGTAATAATGAAAGTATTTGTGGGGGGACAAATATGTAGACAAAAATAATTGTGTCAAGGCACTAGGGAAATTTCCCCTCTTCCTGGGTTCTTCTCAGTCGGAACAACTTAACAAATTGGCATCAGGGAGATTAATAGGAGGGAAAAATCCAATTTTATTACATATGCATGAGACTGCATAACTATAATTTCTAAAGTAAATGAAACAAAGCAGGGGTTTATATCCTGTGCTAAAGAAGGGATAAGGGCCTAGTGTAGTGTGTTAGGAAGAAAAAGGGTGTCTCACATGGAAAGGAGGGTGCTTCTTTATATGACAACACCTGCCTCTGGAACGTTTGCTTATCTTAAGATAGGTTGCTCTGATAAAATGTATATTTCTGGAGCTATCTCTAGATATAGGTAATCTGTGCATATATATATATATATATATATATATATACACACACACACATTTTTTTCATTAGGTAACATTGGTTTACACAATTGTTTGTACTTTAGAAATATAAGATGTCCCCTGTCAAGTGTTACCACACTACACCTGCCATCAAAACACCCATAGCCCACCAACATAGTTAAATCTGCATTCTTTAAGACAATGGAAAATTTTTCCCCCAAGACATATAGGGCCTCAATTACCTTTGTACTATTTATCAAGGCAATGTGTATTGAAAAAAGTCAGCTCTGGACACCTTGGAAAAGCCTGTGAACATTTTTTGGGGGACAGATCCTACAATTGCTTGTAGGTTGTGGTAAAAGAAAAGATGTATTAATAAATAGATAATAGTAAGACATAGGATTGGAGGGAGTGACTAGAAGAGCAGGCTTTTAAGAGTCTTTCATTATTCAACAGATGCTCTAATGGAGCTTTTACATTCTCCATTTTTATCTTACATCACACTCTATTGATATACAAAATCTGGCTATTCTTTCCTTTAAGCTCCTCTAAAATACATTATTGCCTCCCACCCCATAGTCTTTGCAGATAATATCATGCCTAACATACATTACTCAATACTTATTACTTTCTAATATTACTAAAAAAGTAAATATTTCTTTAATTACTCTTACTACTTTATCTTTCAAACCTATTATTTTTCAATGAATTTTCACTGATAATAGCAACTACCTTTGCTACAATATTAGGTAATTGTTAAGAACTCAGACTCTGACCACAAATGTCTAGAATTTGGGCATAGGTTCACCACTTACTAGGAATGTGTCCTTGGGTAAACATGTTAACATAAAGATATAAATAACTGAATTGCATAAAATGCATATAAATGTGTTGAATAATATTTGGAACATTAAACTTACACACTAATCAATTATTATTATTATTATGTTATCAAACATACTTATAATCTTGGCACAATTATCTCTCCTTGTAATACCTAGAAAAACTGTGATTATAAATCTTTGTTTGATAATTTGACTTCTTTCTATCTGGCCTGTCAACTTGTAACCTTCTTGAATGTAGGTACATTAGATTTTCATGATCACTGTTCTCTCACTGCACAAAATTTGAACTATGTGTTTATGTAATAATCTTTTCTATCATAATTTAGACATTTAGATTCTAAGTGACTAGAATAAAGAATGTATATATTGTAATACCACAGATTGCAAACCAGGCTGCCTCTACATATACCACAAGTACAGACCATGGAATTTGCAGACAGTGAAGGCAAACAGAGACGTCTGTGCTCCTAGATTGACTGGGCTGAACACAATGACAAAGTAGATGGAGAAATAATGTTCTACATCCCAAATTTCTGTAAAGGCCACATATCAAAACCTGGAAATATAGGGAAGTTTTAACAATGTGTTGGAATTTTTTCCCCGCATTTGGATGTTCTATAGCTTCTTCTATTGCTGAATAACAAATTACAATTGTATCTGAAAAGAAAACAATTTTATTTTTCTCAAATTTCAGTGGATCAGGAGTCTGAGCATAGTTTCATCTGAGCTGCATTCTCATCTGGAGGCTTAAATAGCAAGAGCTCCTTTCTCAGGAAAAACAGGTCATCCAAATAAAAGTGGACAGAAAATCTATCTATATTTTTTGCAAAGAAGTTATAAGATGGCAAACAGGTACATCACTGTTCATTAAGTAATCAAAGTCACAATGGGATATGACTTCATATATGTTGAAACAGCCATTATTAAAATGGTATGGAAAACTGTAGTAAGGATGCAGAGAAAGGGGCCTCTTGTGCACTGTGGGAATGTAAATTATGAAAATTTAATACGGAAAACAGTATGGAGGTTCCTCAAAACATTAAAAATAGAGCTAACATATGATCTAACAATTTCACTTCTGGGTATTTATCTAGAAAATGAAAATATTAACTTGAAAAGATATTTATACCCCCATATTCATGATAGCATTATTTCCAAAAGTCAAGAATGGTGCATTATCAGCAAAGATGTGTTTGCTTGTATTATGTATTGTCTTTTAAAGTGTCCTTATTGCAAATGTGCACGTGTGCTTGCATGTTTTATATATTGAATTACATAATTAGTACTTTTGTTAAGAAAGTGATTTTCAGCCAGTTGATAAATTTCTGCTATTTATGCTCTGAGGAAATATAATTTCATGGATCTGTTAACTTATTATCTGTGTGCATTTTTTCGGAGCAGTATTGCTGGGCTAGTTAGAGAGTATTTTTGCAGTCAGTGGAGTGGTTCCCCGAAGATGTAACTGAAAAATGGGAAATGTAATACAGTGCAGTTAGAAATCTTTACAATTATATAAAATCACAAATACTAAATTAAATCATGCACCAAAAATAATAAAAGATATGCCAGAAATAAAATTGTGGCCTAAGTTATATTAAAAGGAGATACATAAAAGTTGGGCAACAAATTGATTTTGGAAACCTTCATAAGTGTTGTTTATATATACATACATTCTTTCTGCAATGGATTTATACTATAAAAGCTGCAGTTGGAAGTTAGGATATGGGGTAGACAGTCATGTAGAAGGGAAGAACAAGAGGAAAAACACTGCACACTTTCATACTGTTACCTGGCTGTAGTATCAGGAGCCAGAATTTATAATAGGAAATATTTTTAATTATTGAAATCCACAGGCTTTGGTAACTTCCATCTTTTTCATCTTGATTCCTCTTATATTTTCTGAGAATAAGGATGTTCCTCAAACTATTACTCTTTTATAAAAGACACATACCTTGAAAACTTACCTATGCAAATTATAGCCATGCCATATCCAAATTAAAAATGAAAATGCCATGCCACTCTATAATGTGGAGATCGCATCGCCAGCTATTACTCTGTTTGCTATGGAGAACAGCCAGCGCAAGTGAAAATATGATCTTTTATAGTTGAGAAGTTGGGTAACAGATGCCAGGATAAATGGAGCATATCAATAGTGTGTAAATTTTTGACAAACAAACACAGTTTTTTCAAAACATGTCCTCATGACAACTTTGTCTTAAGTTTTAATTTTCAGTTCCAAATATAGTCACCTTAGAAAGGATTCAGATGAACCTATGTTGAAAGGTAATGGAATGGGAAAGTTTGCTGGGTTAACATAATAAATGCTGAAAATGTGTCCCTAGTGAATAAGTGACAGAAAATACAGCAAAAAGAGGAAGGTGTTAAAAGCTGGCAAACCTACTACTACAGAATAAAAAAATAACCTGCTTCCCTACTGTCTAGCTATCACTGAGTGTGCCGAAGCCAAGAGAAATCTGGCGTGGATCCCAGATGAATATAAATGAAATGAAAGGAATTACAAGGCACAGGTTACTGCTCACCAATAGACTTGCATTCAGCATCAATCACATGAAAAAATATATAATTGCTCCTACTGGGATACAAAATTATTCCAACCAATATGTTCCTGCTCTCAGAGATGTGAATTATGAAGAAAAATTTAAAAAGTTAAGCTAGTTCTCATAGGAAATAGAATGGTAGTCACTTAATTGAAGTTTTAAACACAGCAGGGATCTACAAAATCATTTCAAGTGAACTCCTTATATTTGTAAAATTGAGTGACAAATAGCATGAAATGTTGCCAAAATGTTCATACAAGATTAACTGGTTTATAAATCAAGGGATGCATTTATTTTCCTTCATTTTATAAATAGCTTTCTTATTTGTATATCATATCCATTATCTAATGAATTTGAAATTGTTTACTGGGTTATACTAGAACATAATTAAGGAATCAAAAGAAACAGACAATTTGAAGTGAGTACATTGCGGTGGTTGCTACAAGTCACCTAGAATGAACTGATTTTTACAATCAGGCTTAAAATTTGATTTGCCCTTAATGACATTAGATCACCTTAACACAGAAAAAATGTAATGTTCTTTTCTGCATACGTGTCTCTTGTATTCTCATTGTGATCATTTTGCTTGACTTTAATTTGACGGAAAAGTGCTATTTTACTTTTTTTTTTATTACTAAGTGTTGTTTTCTAGGTGTTGTTTTCTAGGTTGATTTTCCCCCCAGGACTTTAAATATGCTACTCAAATATCTTCTAGTTTTCATCACTTTGGACGTAAGTAGGTTGTTCTTATTTTGTTGCTGTTTGTTCCCTCCCACCCTTCCTTCTCCTTCCCCTTCAAAATGTCTTTATCTCCGTGTTTCAGAAAATTGATAATGATTTCCTGGTGACTTTTTATTTTTTTATTTTTTACATCATTGTTCATTTTTAAACAATATTTGCTTCCCCCCACCCCCTGAGGTGTAGTCCCCAAGAGTTTCCTTCACCAAGGCACCCGTGCATCATCACCTCAGTCCCCTGTGCTCCTCCTTCCCTTCCTCTAATCCCCCTCCCTCCTCCCCCCCTGCAGTATGTCTCTGATTTATAATTGTCTGTTTTTGCTTTATTGAGTTTTGTACTGTTATTATTTTTTTACACTGATGTCTTACTTGGTTCCCCTATATTCATGCTATAATTGAAATCATTGGATATTTTTCTTTTTCCTTCTAACTTACATCACTGAGCATAATTCCTTGTAGCTCCATCCACATTGCTGCAAATGGCATGAGTTTATCTTTTTGATTGCTGAATAATATTCCATTGATATAAATACCACATCTTCTTGATCCAGTCATCAATTATTTGGGTATTTGGGCTGTTTCCAGGTTTTACCTATTGTAAATAGTGCTGCAATAAACATAGGTGTACAGGTGGATTTTTGAATCAATGTTTTTGTGTCCTTTGGGTAGATCCCTAGGAATAGAATTGCCCAGTCATATGGTAGCCCCATTTTTAGTAGACTGAGGAACCTCCAGACAGCTTTCCATAGTGGTTGGACCAGTTTGCACTCCCACCAGCTATGTATGAGAGTTCTTCTTTACCACATCCTCACCAACATTTGCTGTTGCTAGTTTTTCTGATATGTGCCATTCTTATTGGTGTAAGGTGGTATCTCAGTGTGGCTTTTATTTACATTTCCCTGATTATATGACTTTTATTTTTGCTTATTATTCTTGTGGTTCTCTGAATTCTGTGGATCTGTTTTTGTTGATATGTTTTCTAGGTTCTCATTAACTTCAGGAAATTCTTTGCTATTACCCTTTCAAATTCTTCTTTTGTCTCATTCTCTATCCTCTCTCCTTCTGGGACACTAATTGAAAGTGTATTAGAAGATTTAATATTCTTTAAGAGCCCCTATTGTTCTATGTTGTTATATATATTTATTTCAGTATAATTTTATTTATCTCTCTTGAATGCATTGATTATATTTTGTCTGTTGTATCTAGTGCACTGATAAACCCATTGAAGGAAATAGCTTCTCTGATGATGTTTTTTTGTTTTTGTTTTTATTTCTAGCATTTCCTTTTTACTCTCATTTTTAAAAATGCTGTTTCCCTCCTTCTGGTGAAATAGAGCAAAATAAAATTTTCTGCTTGCATAGTGTTTTAATTTAAATTGTATAGGATAATTTTAAAAAATTCAATAGGTTGCTTTTTTTAAATTTATTTATACAGGAACTGTATAAATATTAGAGGCACGGAAGGGTAAGAGAATTCACAGAGACAGAGTGGGGAGCAGAACAGGCAGACGGACCAAAGGCACTGCTGAGGGGAGAAGCGGGAGAGACAGGAAAGGTCTGCTGGGCCATGTGGGTTTCTCCCTGCTGGCCGAGAATCGAACCCGCGAGGCAGTAGCTGTTGACACCTTCACAGAGTGGCGGTGAACCCGCTGTGCCACAGGGGAGGCCGGGTTGCTTTTTTTTGAAACAAATTTCTAAGTTACTCTCTCTTCCCATAACCTGATTTCTTTGCTGTAACCTAATATTCTTTAATCTATTTACTTATAACAAATGTAGATAATTATTTAGTAACTTTTAATGTCAGAAACAGTGGTAGACCTTTGAAAGTTGGTGAAAGTGGTGATGGGATGTTGCAAATATGAAGAAACCACACAGAAATTCAAAGACCTTATGGAGTATCTACATACGTGCAGCGTGCAAAAGACTACCTGGTATGTAATTTTGGTTTAGCATTTTTTAATAAATCACAAGTAAAGAATATATTGGTAATAATCACAGAGGAATTTTTTTAAAAAGGAACTGTCCTGAGGTGAGGATGAGCAATGAAAACCATAATTCAAGGAAGTGAGGGATTGAGGGATGGGTTTGTTTTTTTGTTTTGTTTTTTTTTAATAGAGGCATGTTTTATTTATTTATTTGTTTGTTTGTTTGTTTATACATGCACTGGGTACAGTCAGAAGCTCAGGAGGGTGAGAGAATTCACCAGAGCCAGAGCGGGGAGCAGAGCAGGCAGAAGGACCAAAGTACACTGCTGAGGGGAGCAGCAGGCAGCAGGAGAGGTCTGCGCGCCATGTGGGACCCGCCTCCGGAGGCCGGGGAGCAGCCGGGGATCGAACCGGCGCCGCAGAGGCTGCGGGCAGCTTCGCAACCCAGTGCTCAACTGCTGCGCCACTGGGGAGGCCCGGGATGGGTTTGGTTTTAAAGATCAAGAGTAGGAAGGTAGACAAATAATAAAGGAGTTTCCAGTAAAAGGGAAAGATCTGTTATGGTGGCTGTGCCACAACCAAGCTGGGGTTATGTTGTTTGGTAGCAGAGACCAGGTTATGTTTAGTGGAAAC